GGGTATGGTCAGACACCATATAAATTAATATAATCAATTATTGATATAATTTTGTTTCAAAATTGAATAATGTGGGGCTAAAGCAAAGAAAATGTTACCGATTTGGTTCTATTGGTTTTTTCGTTTTGGTACATAGTTATAAGTTTTTATTTAATAGTAGACTGAAAAAATGGCTCTATATTATTTTGTAATGGATAATTGAAAAATAAGGCGTCCTGACTTTTAAATATAAAGATTATTAGTGAAATTATTCAAATATTTTAAATAAAATTTTTAAAATATTAATTTATTAATAATATCTAAAATTTTTTATTGATGTCAACGATTTAAATAAATTAGTTATCACCTCTTTCTGCTGGAAGTAAAAAATTTTGAATTTGAGTTGATGACATGTGAATGAGGTGGGATGAGAGATAGAAGATGGTTGCTTCCCATTGTGTAACAAAGATAAAAAAGTTTTTTTATTAGTATTTTTGACATTTTAATTATTAAAATGTTTTGATTTTTTTCAATCTCTCCGTTTTGTATTGTTCATAATTTTAGTTTTGTGATTTTAACTGAATTGAAAAATGCTTGAAAAAAGAAATAAAAGAATTGATGTTTTAAATATGGGATCTGATTCAATATTCAACATAAAATTAGACATTTATTCAGGCCTGATGACTTAAGAAAAAAAAAAAAAAAGAAGTTAAAAGTATTTATGAGGTGTTTAGATTAGCAATTCAAGTGAAATTGATAACTAATAAGTACAAGCTAACCACTGAAAGCTATTTTTGAAATAGTAGTCCAAACATTAAGCCAATAAATTGGTTATACTAATTGGCGGCAATATCAAAGCCACTTGATAAAGATTAGGGACTAAGTTGATAAGCTTTTATTTATTGTGGTCAAGATGCTCTTAAATGAATTCTATTCGGGAATAAATAAATCAATACTAAATTGATAACATTTTCCATTATGGGAGGACAATGGAATAAATGAGTGGAAAATTAGCCCAAAATGAATTTTCCATTTAAATTCAATTTCCCAAAAACGCCCCTACTTTTTCCCTCCGTCAGTCCATCTTCCTGTAAGGGGACCTTCCCCAGGCAGTAGAAAGAAACCCTCAAAAACGCAAACGGCTGACTTTAACAATCTCTGTTGAAAGTTGCTCTCTTTGCACGAAATACGGATGTTTATATGCACATGCCATTGTTGAGTTGAAGAAGGTACACAGTACGATTCCTCTCTTTGATCGTTTCTTCGAATACCCCATTATTCTTAAGTCTAAAGCTTCTCTAAATTTAGTGAAATTCTTGGTAATTTTTGGATTTTCTCTCCCCCTTTTTTGCTTCAAAGCTTTTTGTTTGATGCATTGCTTGTTTATTGTCTTGGGTATTTATCACTATGATGAAATTTTTAATTTTTAATATAAATTGTTGTCAAAATCAATGTAACATGAAGAGGGTGTTTTTTCTTTTTGCTTTTTTCGTACTTTTAGTGTTTTAGATTTTGTTACTTGAGTTCATTTTGGCATTTTTCTTATTTCCTTGCAAAGGAGGTGAATTTGATTTTTTTGCTTAAACTTTCTACAGTTGGATTTCTTCAAACACCTGGAGGACTCTGATGGAAACTGGAAAAAAACAAACCCTTACGCCTAAGGCTATTATACACCAGAGGTTTGGAAACAATGCGTTGTATAAGGTAGAGGAAGTGCAGGAGCCTCCTCAAATTGGATGCCCAGGATTGGCTATCCTTCAGAAAGGGCCCTGCCTCTACCGCTGCAGCTTGGAGCTCCCGGATTTTTCTGTTGTGTCAGACATCTGCAAAAAGAAAAAGGATGCTGAGCAGTCTGCTGCCAAGATGGCTCTGGATAAGGTTTGCATCATGTCCACTCCATATGTAGTGGCAGCATCAATTGTCTCACTGCGTTTTGATTTCCTCTACATGGATTGACTTAGTTTTAGTATTTGAGTTTTAAGTACCCTTATTTTTATTGTTTTTATTGCAGCTAGGAATCAACCCTTCAAATGATAATCCCACTCCAGAGGAAGCATGGGAGGATTTGATTTCTCGTATCAAATATCTATTCTCAAATGAGGTTAGTGTTTTATTAGTGAGGTGAACTTTAATATCTTTCTACGATGAATTTATAAACATAATGATAGAAATTATGTGCAAGTTGATGCACTTGCATCAATATGTAAGCTTTATTGTGTTATTTGTAATATCAAAATGCTGATTAGATATTAGATATATTCCTGCATAATTTCTGTCCAGTTTCTTCTGAAAATATGGCATCAGAAGTTATGTTTAGCTCTCTGTACAACTCTGCTTTCATCCATTGATGATGTTTGTGTTATCTCTTTATCATGGTGGTTTGTATTTAGCAATCATTTGTTGTATGTTGAATTTTGATGCTTATATTATTAGCATATGCTGCCATGAGTTTACATTAAAAGTTTCTGTCATTATAAAGTTCTTGTCAGCTCTTCATCCCCTGAGTGGTCACTTAAGAGCAGCTTTGCTGAGAGGTGGTGATCTTCATGGTTCTGTTCCTGTTTCTGTTATTGCTGCATGTGATGGAAAGCTTAGCAATCTCTGTAAAATAATCAATCCAAAAGTGGAGTCGAATCCTGGCTTGGTTATCTCCTACATTCTGAATGCAGCTTCAAGACTAGCAGAGGTGTTTGTTAGTTCTGAGGGACAGCTTTCAATTCAGAAACAAAATCCATACCCTCCTGAGATTATAGAATCATCAATGACCCTAGAATTAGATGCCCAGGAAAGCATATGGACTGAGGCCATACATATTCCATGCTCACTAGAAAAGGCTGTTGAGCCAGTGATTCTTCATGTTCCTTCAAATGGGTACTACATGGATGTTATTGCAGAAAAACTTGGTTTACCAGATGCAAACAAACTTCTAGTTTCCAGGCATGTGGAAAGTTTTATTTGGTTAACAATACCTGCAGAGTCAATATGTTGTGGCATGCAGTTGAGTGGTCCTTAATAATGTACTTACTTTTTGCTCAACAGGACTATTGGTAAATCATCTTCTGAGACGAGATTATACTTTGCTGTTCCAAATTCATATCAGTTGGATCTGTCATCTGATCTTCGAAATGCTAAAGAGGCTGTTAGTTTTGAAGGACCCATAAATGCAAGGGCAAGCTACTTTTTGGGTCAAGATGTATGTTCTGATGCAATTTTGGCATGTATTGGTTATAGATGGAATTCCAAAGAGCTTTTTCATGAAGATTTTACCTTGCAATCATATTACAGGTCTCTTCTGATTTCATTTTCCTTGTCAAATTTCCTCATATGATCTTCACTAATCTCCTTTTTACGATGCTTGTGAAACTTTACACTAGAAATGGGACAAAAAGAAAACTTATGTCCATTGATCCCGTTTAGTTCTAAAAGTAAAACTCCTAAAACCAGTATGCTGTTATAGCTTTGTTCAGATCAGAGTCTAAAAAATTTATGAAAGTTCCTAGCAGCCTGGGGCAGTAATAAAGTGGGGCTTGCATGGGGGGCATCTACCACAACTTCTTCCCTTTGCTTCTACGGCCAACCTTACCTCAGAAATTCTCCTTCTATGGTTTTACCTGCCCTGCCCTCCCCTACCCCTTTTTGTGGGTGATTATCATCTTCAGAAGCAAGGTTGGTTTCTTCAAGAGGAGCCTATGGCAGTTGTCTACTCACCTTTTTATCTTTGCCATGGTCAATTTTTGTTGGGATGTAGTACACACTTTGTTCACTTGTTCATTAACTCTTTTACTGTAGATCCATTCCTGTATTTATTATGCATTCTGGAGTTTGTCATTATGAACCTGCAACCTTTCAACATAGGATAACATTGGATGGATTTATGCAGGATGCTTTTAATTAAGATACCCAGTGGAATTTACAAAGTGTCAAGAGAAGCAGTACTTGCATCTGAGTTACCCCTTGCATTTACCACAAGGGCAAACTGGAGAGGTTCTTTTCCAAAGGAAATTTTATGTGCATTCTGCCGTCAGCACCGCCTATCAGAACCTGTCTTTGCATCACTTGAATTGCCAAGATCAAACAAGAAAGTTAAGGTCTCGGAGTCTGCTGAGCAACAGACAGCATATCTAAATGGAGATTGCACTGTTGCTGGTGACCAGAAGTCAGTTGGATTAGAAAGCAATTTTAGCTGTGAAGTAAGAATATATTCGAAGTGTCACAGCTTAATTTTGGAGTGTTCCCCTAATGTCCTGTACAAGAAGCAGAATGATGCTATCCAGAATGCTTCTCTCAAAGTTTTGTCATGGCTAGATGCTTATTTTAAGGATCCAGATACACCTTTAGAGAAGTTAAACCATTTGGCAAATGGCCTCAATATTAGATTTGATCCCCAATACTTTTTCAAAGAGTTTGTTTTGTGTCCATCTCTTCATAAGTTTCAAGGCAGTGAAGCTCTGGGAGGAAATTTGCTAGAACCAAATTGTAAGAATATGCTAAACGGTATTATTGAAGATGAAGTAAGTTCTACTAACATAAAAGGCCCAGATTCTGGCATTTGTCCATATAATGGTTCCTTAATATGTTTAGTTTATTCTGTATCTCTGGTTAAGAAAGGTGAACTTATGAAAGAGCTTATTGAAAGTAATGAGGAGTTTGAGTTTGAGATGGGGAATGGAGTGGTAATTCCACTTATTGAAACCATTGTGACTCAGATGTCTGTTGGTCAGTCTGCTTGTTTCATTACTGAGTTGCCTCCTCAAGAGTTAATTCTAGCTGCAGCTAGGGATTCTGCACAGGTTCTTTCGTTGTTATCTTCCTGTGAGTTATTCTGTCCTCTAATGCTAGTTGATATGTGATGAATTTCCTTATCTTAATTTTTAATTTTTAATTTCTGGTTCATAGTTTCTTTACCAAGTCTGATGGAGTTTCAATTCAGTGGCTATGTATCACTGCTTACATTGTTTGCATGTCTATAAACAATGCCATGTAAAATAAAGGAAAATGATTCTATTTTCTTATAAGAAATTTATTCCTAAAAGTTTTCTCTCCATGCAACTTCTAGTGTGTGTGTGGTTAAAACTCCATCACAGTTGGTGTTCTGTTGGAAATGCATCTTCCAACAATAAATTGAGCCTCTGAATTTCATTTATTCCATCTCCTTTGTTTTAAATATTGGTTGAGAAATCTAACTTGGTCTGCATTATGTGTATTCTTGTGTTTGCATAAGCCTGCTGCTTGGAGTTCTCAATAGTCTTGTTGCGGGTTACTGAACCCCCAGAGGACAGAATGGAGCAAGCTCTTTTCAGTCCTCCACTTTCAAAGCAACGTGTGGAATATGCATTGCATCACATCAAAGAATCTTGTGCCACAAGTTTGGTATTTGCTTACCGTTTCTCCTTTTTGTTGACATTGATATGAGAATTCAGTTTGATGCTTTGCTCTCTGCTCTACTGCAGGTTGACTTTGGATGTGGCTCTGGGAGTTTGCTTGAGTCTCTGTTAGATTATCCCAGCTCTCTGGAGACAATTGTTGGTATTGATATTTCACAGAAGAGTCTTGCTCGTGCTGCAAAGGTTTGTCCTGATGAGTGTATGCTATACTTATGGTTAGATTATATGTAGTTCAGACTGATAGTTGGAAAAATGTCTGGCGTGTTTCTAGGACTTGAAATCCTCATGGTTTCTTTGTACTTCATTTATGATATGGATAGTTAGAGAACATTGTTTTTCATCTCTTTTCTTATCAGCGCATGCCAAATTATAAATTATTATTTTTTTATTTGATCTTGTATTATTTTCCTCTATGTCCCTTAGCTAGATTTCTTCTATTTTCTGAATACCACAGGTACTTCATTCAAAACTAAGCATGAAGTTAAATCCAGATGTGTCAGGTTCAACCATCAAATCTGCAGCTCTTTATGATGGTTCTATAACAGTTTTTGATTCTCGGTTTTGTGGATTTGATATCGGGACATGCTTAGAGGTATTCTGTAACCCTTTTAGATCAATCATCATATAGTTGTTAATTTGTTCTTTACTAGTTCTGATTTATCAAACCATAATTCTCAATATGATGTAATGACTTAAAAATGAAGCTTGAATTAGTTGCTTCTCTAAATTACTTAATTCAAAGCTAACATCCTGGGATTGTTATAGGTTATTGAACATATGGAGGAGGATGAGGCGTCTCAGTTTGGTGATATTGTGCTGAGTTCCTTTTGGCCAAGGATTCTCATTGTTTCCACTCCAAATTATGAATACAACGTGATACTCCAGAGATCCAATCTATCCAAGCAAGAAGATGAGCCCGAGGAGAAAACTCAGTCACAATCTTGTAAATTTCGCAACCTTGACCACAAGTTTGAGTGGACAAGAGAACAGTTCAATAACTGGGCATCTGAACTAGCCACAAGGCACAATTATAGTGTTGAATTCAGTGGAGTTGGTGGCTCAGCTGACTTAGAACCTGGGTTTGCTTCTCAAATTGCTGTCTTTAGAAGGGGTTTCCTACCTGAGGGAGAGGATCTTCCAAAGAACACGGACCCAGCATGCCAATACAAAGCCATATGGGAGTGGAATAGACTAAACACTGCACTTTGACCAAAATAAAGTAAGTAACAATATGAAGGAAATTTCTGCTTTTTGTTAGATATTTGTGGCTTAGTTGGGATAGAATACCAAATTTTGAGGTGTCCAAACTACACCTGTGATGAATGTACATTCTTTAACCTGACGCTATGTTAAAACACATGCTTTCTTTTGAAGTCTGCATGTTGTTCAAGAGGTGGAAGAAAGCAACAGATCCTCCTTACATAAAATATTAATCTTCAATCTTTTTCTGTTTGGAAACTTCCTTTTTCACTTTGAAAACGTATTTATATCAAATATTCAATGAGTTCATGGAAAATATGTCGTCTGTCTGCGGTTGAGTAAATTGACAAAACAATATGAATGCGTGTCTCTACGCGTTGCTGAAAATTTTGAAAAAAGTTAGGAAAGGAAGCATGCAGGATCTGTCCCAGATGTACATAAAACTTCTTTGAAAAGCATACATCGGCCTCTAAAGTCAAACAATGGAAACTTCAGTCGAATATATTATTATTTTTTGCCATCTTCAATCACATCTATTAAAGGCCGCGCCTTTCTTACATTTCGTTATACATCTTTCCATCTGATTCTACAAAGAAACAAGTTTCATCCTTGGGTCTTGCAAGAAGAAAAAATCTATCAAATATGGCAGATCAACAGAAGATCCATCCCGCTCGAGACGTGGAGGCGCCTCCACCAAAGATGTCCCCCACGACTCCCCTGGTGCCACGGGATGAAGCGAAATCTGAAAATAGCAATCCAGCGCCGGTGGAGTATCCTCCTCCCTTGAAACGCACCCTTCCTGCGATGCAAACCAGACCACCCAAGAGGAAAAGTTGCTGCTGCAGGTACCCTTTTTCTCTTCATTATCACCAAATAAATTGCAGTACTTTTTGAAGTTTGTGATTACTAACTCCATTATTACTAACTTGACTATGCTCTTGTTAACACGATAGGTGCTTGTGCTGGACAGTTTGTCTCCTCTTGCTCCAAATTGTTGTCCTGGGAATTGCTGCTGCCATCCTCTATGCTGTTTTCCAGCCAAAGCTACCGAAATACTCTGTTGACAAACTACAGATAACTCAGTTCAATCTTGGTTCCGATTCAAGCCTGTCTGCTGCCTTCAACGTGACCATTACTGCTACAAATCCCAACAAAAAGATCGGAATATATTACGAGGAAGGCAGCAGTATGAGCGTTTATTACACCACCACAAAGCTATGTGAAGGGTCAATGCCCAAGTTCTACCAGGGTCACCAGAACACGACAGTACTTGTCTTGCCCTTGACAGGACAAACCCAGAACGGGGCCGCTCTAATCACTGCCGTTACTGAACAGAAGCAGCAGACAGGAAACATTCCGTTGAATCTGAGAGTGAATCAACCGGTGAGGATTAAACTTGGGAAGTTGAAGCTGATGAAGGTGAAGTTCTTAGTGAAGTGCGGACTGGTGGTGGATTCTTTATCTGCAAATAATGCCATTAGTATTCGAAGTAGTAGCTGTAAATTTAGCCTTAGATTGTAAATTAGTTAATTTATTGTTTTCATTATAGACTTCTACATTTTTTCCACTATTTTTTGATCTTTACGATTACTTTATATTACATTTGATGTATATTTTTTTATGTGATTTACATTTTATGTTTTATGTATTGAGGTATATTATTATTTTTTAATGAATTTTATTTTAAAAAGATAAAACATAATTTAAAATATCAAATATTAAATAATGAATAAATGCACGTGATAATGAGTGTTATAACATAACTACATTGAGGTTGGGTCAGGCAAAGACCGTACCCAAGCCTCAATAGAAAAAAAAAATGAGGAAAGAAATAAAAAGATTTAAAAGTGAGGTTGCAAAGGAAAACAAGGAGGTAAAGGCTCTATCCTCAATCTCTTTGTAAAGTAGAAAAAAGTCTTAGGGTTAGAGTTAAAATTAATTTTTTTTTTTTTAAAAAAACCCTACCCTTAATTTCTTCTCTTTCACACTCATTTTCTTTTACCCATTGAGGAGGAAATGCAAATGACATTTTATTATGATTTTATCATACAACAAAGTACACATCAAAATTACATCATCACTTCGCACAAAAAAATGAATATCAAAATCATTACTTTACCAAATTTATGAAATTTTATAGGAAAAAGCGAAAGCCTTAGAAGTTAGAACTCGAATGTCATTATGGAAAATAAACATCTTGAATTTTAATTTTATGTTAAAAAAAGTTTAATCCGAAAGTAAAATCTCTTCTATTAATCGTAGAAATATTTGTTTTTAATTGTTTATATATATATTAATTAAGCGATATATATAAAATTTTATACAATTCTAAACTAATCAATTTAAAAAATTATGATGCGGTTTATTTTTGTACTATTGCATTACTATTTAAGAAAAAAAATTCTAATTCTATGGGAACTAAAAATAAAGAGCTAAAAGCAAAGAAAAAACTTGCCGAGACCAAACCTTATTCCATTAGGATGTGAGAGATGAGAATCAAGAGAGGAAATTCTGGCTTCGACAGTGCACATGAACCCTAGGTCGCCTGAACGGCATCCTCCAATCGACAAAGACATGGAGCCGCCGGCGAGATCAAGGCACGCCGCTCACGCAACCGTGAAAAGTCGGTTTTTGGATTTTGCTCAGACCCGTGAGTGAGGAGTGAGTACGGGTTTGTAAGAGCCCACCTCACAAACCCAATAAGCTATTTACTTTACTCGCCTAGTTGCTAAGCTGGCCCCTTGGCCCATAGACAATAATCCTAATCCAACCCAAGAAGAATTGTATGAAAATGACTAGGCCTTAGTGTGCAATGGGCCAGACAGAAGGGTTGATTAGCAACTTGCTAAACCTTTTTTTTTATCCCAACCTGGTGAACTTTTTTTTCTCCCAACTTTTTGTTCTCTACTTAAAAAAAAAAAAAAAAAAATTCATTTCAAATAAACCATACAACATCTACGTACGGGAGAAATCTTGATCCGTAGAACAAGAATACACAATCTTACACAATGCATTAAATACATGTGGATATATATAAAACACAAAACTTAAGTTTCAGTAATTAAAAACTTCAGTTTCTGCATTAAGAGCGTTCAATTTCTGAGATGGTGAGAAAGGGAGATTTGTGATGTACAGCTTATTTCAAAAGGAAAAAAGGAAAACAACGTGGTGTGGAGTTAGGTGTGAATCAACTCCATTGTCAGCCAGACTGTGAGCCGATGACTTCATGCAGACGAGAGAATGATCTAAAAAATATGAGAAAATTAAGAAAAGAGATTCTAATTAACGGGCTGATAGTCAGAGGGTATTTGTCTTGATGTTGAAATGTGATAACTGTATGGAGCTTGTTTGTTTTTGTGGAATATAAAAACCAACGGAGACTGACCGAAATATGGCACTAACTTGTAGAAAGGTGGCCCTAGCCTGATGGTGACTTTGGGAGGTTGGGGCATGCCTAATTGCCTACCCAAAGTTTAGAGAAATACATAGACTGAGGATTAAAAAAAGAAAAAGAAAAAAGGAGGGGGTGGGGTCTGGAAACTAAAATAGATCGTCCAGGAAAATATATAAATAAAACGGTGAAGAAGAGAGGAACAAGAAGGGTGAAGAGTTATATAATTTTAAATCCTACAAAAATGGGATGGATAGCCTCCATAGCATAGTGGTTGTCTTTTGGAAAGTTTTAACATTATTATTACGATAACTACGTTTTCAAGTGACACTGTGACAGAGTGCCTTCTGAGATTTGAATGCATATCCTTTATACGAAGGACAAAAACAAAGACTTGTTACGTGTCATATGTGATCGATGGATACTTGTAATGCCATAGCTATTTCGTTTTTTATTTGACCAGGTTAGGGTATTTTAATCTTTTTTTTTTAATAAAAATTTATTAAAATGATACAATTTTAAAATAATTTTTTTAATCTATAAAAAATAAGATAGATATGCATTATTTTTTTATTATATAGATATTTCTTATAAAAAAAATTGTTATGTGTTTTGAATAATATTGAATTATACAATATTAATTATTGATTAAAAGCTTAATTCTTAATATCAAAAGTTCTTCTCCTATTCAATTATCTTTATTTTAAAATTTGAGACAATCTAACCGTAAAATAAAAAACCCATTAAGTATTTAAAAAATTTGATAACCAATTTATATAACAGGAATAATTGCCCCTTTCTCAAATCCTTCTTACACGTCTCAATATCCGATTTTTGAGAACAAAACCATCCTCTGTAATTTCTATTCTTGTTTTGCTTTATAAGGAAGGAAGAGCAAAGTTATCAATATCGTA